CTTTAATAAATTAGTACAATAATTAAATGAGGCATTAATTTATTAACATTATTATTTGTTGACATCGATGGTAACTAATTTTTTATTTTTAATCAAATGCCTTAGATTTAAATTTTGAGGATAAAATTATTTTTGATAGACACTTAACTTATTAAAAAAGACTTTTTAACGCAAATCCAATTTAATTAACTGGGAAAAACTAGAGAAAATAAAAAGAGGAAAAAAGGCACTATTTGATTATTTCATTTATCAAATCTTTTTCTGCCATTATATAAGTTTTAAACTTGGATGGGTAGAACTTTTAGTTTCTTAATTATTTGATTAAACATAATTTAATTTTTATGATCTTTTGGTGCATTATACTTGAAATATACTTCTGACCCATCTTACTATGATTTTTTTTTTTAAAAAAAAGCAGAATTATTAGTTATTTCATCATTCAGTAGATATGTTATGGCAAATTTATATTATTTACCATTTTAAGGCTTATATAGTTCTAAAAAGGGAAAATTATAAATATATTCTGATTAAAAATTGTACCCTATAGCAAACTATTGTTATTTTCGCCTCTCTCTGGTGGAATTTCCGTTGCCACTCTCGTTTGGTGTCAGTTTCGCTCGCCTTTCTCGTTTAAGCATTTGTGTTTGTATAAAGCGAGAAGAAATTGTATATATACATATATTTTCGTTCCCCTCTCCCTAATCTCGCTCGTCACCCTCGTCTGTAACATCTCGTAACTCGAAATAGCTAGGAATAAGCTAAAAAAACTAATAATCACTTTTGAAAAGAAAAGGCGAAATCTTGAAATTTTTCTTAGTTTAAAAAGTGAGTTTTGGTCATTTTCAAACGATCATAACTCCTTGCTAAGTATGAGTTAGAAGTAGTTCTTTATATGGTTGGAAAACCCTCTTTTCAACGCCGCCGAGTTTGTGCATTTTCAATATCATATGAGGGAGATATGTCTATCGGAAGTTGGTATGTTGGATTGAGGTAGGTCCCAATCCAGGTTTAAAGAACGACAAACTAGTCTTTTCACCTATTTCTTTTCTATTTCGTTTAGGAATTTATTTGGGGTAAAAATAAGTTTTAGTTCTTTTGTATATGTAGAACAAATTATACAACTTTTTTCTTTATATATGAATAGCGAATTATGCAACTACTTTTTTTTGTATATGTATAGCGAAATATACATATTTAATTTTTTTTATAGAGCACAATTATGCAAACTATAAAATCATATTTGTATGCTATAGTTATAGTATAAAATATTTAATCCATCAAACAGCACACTGTAATTAATTAAAAAAGTACATGTACTCATTTGTATATCTCAAGAATCAAATTAAAATATATTAGATAGTCGAGAGACCAAAATACTCATTTTATGTGATTGTTTATTTTTCTTTGAACCCCAGGATAACCCGTAGCCGCTATAATCTTAGCCCTTCGGTTGAGCATTTTATGCGCATTGAGTAAACCCTCAACTGTGTAATAACCTGCAAGCCACACAGGGGATGTAAACCGCACTAGGCAATACTTATGCGACATGCTCGACTCAGAAGACATTGAGGTAAGATTGATCCCGGGTAAGGACACTTTAATGTGAATGTTATGAAACATATTTGGAGTACAAAAATACAATTTTTGGATTGATTTGTAAATCATATCTGGACTGAGTAAAAAAATATAAATCTATTTACTCTGGAATACCTTTAGACATATATTGTCCAAAGCTTCTTATAGTTAAAATCTAGTCATTTTTTTTTCAAAATCTTTAGGTAGAAATGCTTGAACATCAACTATATCTAACTTCAATACATTTTTGTTTCAAGTTAACTTTAGTTAAAATTAATATAATATTTACATATACTTTATTTTCTTCGGATCCATAAGCAGAATTTGGTAGTTTACTCAACTCAAAGGGAAGAAAAATTGTCCAATTAAATAGTGTTACTTCCTCTGTCTCAATGATAATTGATATGTCATTTCTTTAAAAATCTTAAAAAATTTTATTTTTGCCCTTAATAAAATAATTTATAGTCATATAAATGTATATAGTTTGATTTAGATCACAAATTTTTTTTTTTAAAAAAAATCTTTTAACTTTGTGCGACACCACCATGTTAATTGGGATTGAAAGTCTTTCTTTCTTTTAATGAATAATATGTTTTTAATTTTTGTTTATTTATAGTTAACAATTTTATACATTAAATTATTGTGCCCTTTAACTTGGTTTCGAATCACATTTATGCCTTTCAACTTTGGGTGTGCACAAGTAGACTTTTAAACTTGTATAAAGTTGAACAAATAGACACGCATGTCCTACATGTCATTCTATATGTCCTTTTTTGTCCTACGTGGTATTTTGCCATGTAGGACTCATGTGTTTATTTATTTAGAAGTTGGCTAGTTAATGCGTCTGTTTGTGCATTATGAAAGTTGGAGATCAAAGTTAAAATTTGAAACCAAATTTAGAATCTAATGCTATTACACTCTCTTTCTCTAAATATAAGTGGGCAATTGTTGCAACATACCTCACTTCTCATTCTATGAGTATTTGTCTACCCTCTTGTTCGTGCTCTAGGTTCTGGCTATTCTCAAAATTCAAGATTCTCTTGTTGGTCGATTTGGCATGTCTAAAGTTAGACTTTAGCAAATTTATATATTTGAAATTTAATTATTAAAATCTCAGTTTGAAGACGATTTTGAAATGGCTTGGGCTATGTTTTAAATAGAAAAAATTATATAAGTGAAGGTCTTTTATTTAACAATCACCACTTTTTAATTTTCAGCGTAGAATTGCAATGGAAGAAGGTAAAGGAAAGTCGCCTAGAAGAAGTCCTTGGATACTTGTAATGTTGATACTTCAAATCAAGAGGCTTATATTAGTTAGATGAGGGGTCAAATTTCAGCTTTTACGGGGTTTCTCTTTTGGGAAATTTTTTAAAATGTCAATATTTTAGCATTTAAGAGGACTCATTAGCAACAATTTCAATATTTAGTAAAAATATCATTTTAGTTTGTTATGTATATTTTTATTATTTATTTTTATTTAAAGAATATAATTTTTTAATAACAAAAAGGAGAAAATTAAGGGGGAGGCAAGCATCCTTAATTTTTTCATCAGTTACATTTTCAAATTAAATTTAAATTTTATTTTTTTCTCCAGAATTTTACCTTTTTAAAATTATATTCATTCCACAATATATTCTATCTATATTTATTATAGTTTTTTATTAGTTTGTATTTATTT